CCGAGGTGAGGATTCAGGCTCAGTTGTTGTTTGTAGGTAATTCGGGGCGTGGGCCATCTCGGCGTGGGGACGGGATCTCTGGGAGGTGCAGGGGAGGAAAAGCCTGAAGGGATTTTGTGTACAAAGTTATTACTTGATGGTGGGTTTCGGCAACTCAGCAGGGGCAAGAGAGGGCGCGTGGGAGTGGGATCCACATGCCCTCGGTTCCTCCCGTGGGTCACAGAGGGGGGCTGTAGAAGCCTTTCTGCCACCAGTGGCGTGCCGCTGCCTTGACAGGTTCTGCTGTGGACACAGCAGGAGCTCTCGGGTACAGTGCCCCCGCAGGCAGGAGCCCCGTCCAGTCTCAGGGTCGTCCAGTGCTTGCCCACGCACCCTTGCTTCCTGGAGGAAGTCGAAAACATCACCCATGTGATGTGAGCAGTGGGCGGGATCTCAGAGTTTCTCCCATTCCATCCACTTATTCTATCAATGGTACCACTGGAGCCCAGAGAGCAGAAGGGACTTAGGCAAGTCACCCAGCAGGTTATCGGCTGAATCAGGTCTTAAAGCCTCAGATCTCCTAACCAAGTCATCACACAAGCCATGTTTTCCTGCCCAGGCTGCACCTCGCTTGCAGGAAGTGAATACACGTGCCTGGGAACAGAGACCAGTAATTAACAGCAGCTGCAATTTATTGAGCATCTGCTCCACACCGGTTGCTGGGCTAATACTTGCAGTGGTTCTCAACCTTGGCTGCACATTAGAATCACCTGGGAATCTTTTTAAAATCCTGATTTCTGGGCCTCATCCTCCGGAAATTCTGTTTCTTTATTACTAATGTTGTGGCCCCACCCCATAACAAATTGTTCCCTGCCCTCTCCTGTAGCTCTCCACCACCTGTAGGACGTGTTGTCACTCTGTTAGGGGTGGGGCCACAACATTAGTAACAAAGAAACAAAATTTCCGGAGGATGAGGCCCAGAAATCAGGATTTTAAAAAAGTTCCCAGGTGATTCTAATGTGCAGCCAAGGTTGAGAACCACTGGCTTAGAGAGATGACTGCATTTAAGCCCCATGGCATCTGGCATTGCTGTCCCATTTCACAGACCAGGGACCTGGGGTTCAGTGAGGTCAGGTGCTTTGCCCGACTTTATACAACCTGGATGTGATAGAACTGGGGTTCCTGTGGGCAGCACAGGCTGCCTCCAGAGCTTAACTATTTCAATCCTGCACTGCACTGCCTGGTTCCGCCTTGCCCCGATGCAGCCACATTTCTCTCTGCAATTATTTTATTTGTATTTCTACTAAATAGAAGTTTAATTCTCCATCTCCCTCCCCTCCCTTTCCTCTCCCCCCCACGCTGGTAAATTCATAGATACAGTCAAGAGACCTGGCCCCAGCATTGGCATCTACAGGACTGGCCACATCACTTCTCCATTCTTGCTGCTGGCATTTCTAAAACATGGGTGATGGTTGGTTGATTCTGAAGTACCCTTAGAGACAGTATAGCAGAGTGGTTAAGAGTCTTAGCTAACTCTTAGCCTGAATTGTGTGCCAAGCTCTAAAAGCTTCACTTAGGCTGCCCAGCCGGCATGGCTCAGTGGTTGTGTCGACCTATGAACCAGGAGGTCACAGTTCAATTCCTGGTCAGGGGCACATGCCCGGGTTGCGGATTCCATCCCCAGTATGTGGCGTACAGGAAGCAGCCAATCAATGATTCTCTCTCATCATTGATGCTTCTATCTCTCCCTCTCTGTGGCCCTGCAACCCAGGTATGTGCCCTTGACCAGGAATCAAACCTAGGACTGGTCTGTGGCTGATGCTGTAATCACTGAACCACACTGGCCGGGATGCAATGCTTTTTCTTGCAGATGTATACGCAGGCTCAGAGAGGCAGACTTGCTGAGGGACGCTTAACCCTCTTGAGGATTTCACCTTAGTGTGCAAAATGGTGCATTCAGAGCCAGGTGCTCCAGTGGTCTCTGGTCTTCCCATATTGGATGCACAGTCAGGTCTTCTGCGGTCCAACTCACATCAAGGACCTACTCCGAGGATCTTCACCAGGTGGTAGGCAAGCCCCGAGTGCCCCAAGATCTAGTCCTAGAGGAGGGTTTAAACATCCAGAGAGGCTCCAGAAAGTCTGCTGTGCAGAGGGCGCGTCAAAGGTGTGGTGGTGGGAAGCAAGAGAAGTGTGCTGGAGGGGCCAGGAGACCAGAAGGAAGGACATGCACGTAGCAAGAGGTGGGGCTGGACCTGTTGTCTGGGTTCCGCCGTGGAAGCCCGGACTGCCAGCCTGGGAGCATGCCTGGTGTGGAAGGCGAAGGCATCTTAGCAGAAGGAGTCTTCTTAAAGCAGATTTAGTCAGCAGCACAGAGTGCCAGATGAGCTGGGCAGGAGAGAGAGACTGGAGGCAGCAAGACCAGTGCCTTCATGCTCCCGCCTTTTATGGTGGAGCCTTCCCGGTTTGAAATTCCCCGAGCAGATTCCAGCGAGTTCAGATACATTCTCTGTTGCAAACTGAGCTCCCCAGCCAGCTCTGGCCCACGTAGTGCTGAGGTCTGCAGCCCTGCAGGGGCTGGAGGCCAAGTGCATCATAGCCTCGGGCCAAGGCTCCAGGAAATTGGGGTCAATTTCCTACTCCCCTGGGGGCCCAGCAGAATCATGGGGCCTGGAGCCTGGGGCTCTGGGAGGGAGAGTTGGGGTTCTCTGGAAGCCTCTTAAACTTCCCCTGAGCTCACACAGAACATCTCTGGGTGGACTATGCAAGTCGGCCCGCGGCTACATGCTGGGGATGGGCCACCCTTCACCCACGGACACAGAGATTCCCAACACCATTGGCCCCTCCTCGTGCCGGCCCAGGAGAGGCCCAGAGAGGGCCCCTCTTTCTCTTCTGAATCTTGTCTCCTTGCAGCTGTTTTCCCAGATGGGAGCTTCAGCCTGTATTAGCCCTTCCAAAGATTTTATTTGTTTCCTTGGCATGCACTCATTCATTCATCCCCTCATTTCTTCATTCACTCACCTACTCATTGATTTCCTCATCCATGTGTTCATTTTTCTTCATTTAATAGCCAAGTTCATTCCATAACTCTACCTATTCACTCCACCTTTTGTTAACAAACAGTTCTTGAGTGAATAGAAGAAATATCCTTTGAGTGATGAATGAGTGAATGGAATGGCCAGGACCTATTAAAGGTTGCAGAAGGCCCTGCGGCTGCAAAGGTGAATAGGGCACCTTCCTAGACCTTGGGGAGCTCATCACCTAGGCACAACGGGTGATGCGTGTCAGAGACCTTAAGGCAGTGTGCTCTGCACAGTCAGGAGGCATTAAGACAATGGCTTGTGCCAGATGATGATTGTGGGCAGGAGGGGATAGGAAACAGCAGACAGAAGGGGCAGTGAGCACAGAGCATGGCCGTGTGATTCAGCTTACAGTAATGCAGTCAATTTAAACGAAAGTCCAAGGTTGGAGATGGTGCTGCAGGGAGCAAGGAGCAGGAGAATGAGGCAGAGTTAAGGCTGGGGCGCTCTGGGATTGGACACGGGCCGTTCCACAGGTTGGTGCCCTGGTGAGCATGGTTAGCACCTCTACCTCGTGTACTTTCTCTCCTTGTGACCTTGAAAGAGGGAGAGGATACATAGCTTGTTCTCAGGCAGATGGACCCCTGGGCAGAAACCACCCACGGTTCTGTTTCCAAGGGGTGGAGTCCAAACATAAGCTGACATTTAAGGCCCCACACCTTATTGGCCTTACCAGCTCAATCTTCCCCATTTTCTTTCTTGGGTCACAAGGCTGGTGGGGGTGGGGTGGGGACTCTGCTGCTAAATATACGTCCTTGCATTTGCACATGGCCTTTGGCCTTTTAGAAATGTCCTCCCATCCCTGTGCTGCCTGTGATTTTATGCATCCTTAAAGACTTATTTCCATATATCAACTCCTCTATGAAGCCTTCCCTGCTTACTCTTGCACAACCGGTGACTGTCCCCGTGTACTCACAGCACTGTGACTGAGCAGTCACACTGACATGGCTGGCTGCTCACACCACTGTCTTTTCTTCCCCGGCTCAGTGGGACCAGATATTAGCTCGCTTTACTTTGGGGCCCCACAGAGCTGGGAGCAGAATGGGCACTAAGAGGTGGTCCTTGAATTCAGAGGCAGTTCTGAGGCTTCTACAGAGCTGGGCTCCCGTTAGAACCTTGGACACAGAACGGGGTTTGCAGGAAGGCCTGTGTCTGCAAGCTGCGTTTGCCTCCGCGGTGCAGAAGATGGAGGAACTGAGTATTGTCTATTTTAAAGACTCTAGGGAGGGCACAGGTCAAAGCATCCCCATGCCAGCTTCTTGCTACCTTCATTGCTGGAATGAATGGAACGGATGATGAGGAAGGAAGGAGGGAGGGAAGAAGGGAGGGAGGGAGGGAGGGAGGGAGGGAGGAAGGAAGGAAGGAAGGAAAGAAGGAAGGAAGGAAGGAAGGAAGGAAGGAAGGAAGGAAGGAAGGAAAGAAGGAAGGAAGGAGCGGGCAAGAGAAAGCTTCCCAGCTGGGCCCAGGCAGCGCCGCGAGCAAATGGCAGAGGCCTGGCATGGGATGTTCTCTCACTGCCTGAGAGGAAGCAAGCTCTGGTGTGTCCCTGCCTCCTCACAAACAGTCCCGGGCCCGTGCTCTCACTCATCGTATGGGCTGTGGTGCACTGGGGCCCCTGCCTTCTCAGTTAATAAACACAACCAACAAAACAAATCTCTCTGATTGAAATCTCTGCAGGGACACGGAGCCAGGACTTAGGGAGCCTGGGGGTTAGGCTCTCTGAGACGCTTTGGCCAGTTCAGACGTGGAAAGGGGTTTGCAGAAAGGGCCCACACTGAGCCCTCCTCAGTTTCCCCGTCTGTAGAATGGAGGTATTACCAGTGGAGGTATTACCAATGCAGTTGGTGCCACCAGTGTTAACAAATTGCTCTGGTTTCCTTTTTTCCTTGAGAAGCTTCGGTGGAGGGTGGTGTCTTGGTCTGACTGTGTTTCCGTGGTGCTCAGGGCCGGGGGAGCAACGTCATCCACTGCCGGAAAGACGGGACCTGGAGCGGCTCCTTCCACCTCTGCCGGGAGATGCAAGGCCAGTGCTCGGCCCCGAACCAGCTCAACAGCAACCTCAAACTGCAGTGTCCTGAAGGCTACGCCATAGGTAGGCGGGTGCATGCGGGCAGCGTGGGAGGGGCGAGAGCTCCGGAGAGCCCAGGCTGGTGCCTCACTGGGTAGCTGGGTGCCTCTGCCCTGTGGGGCCCTGGGAAAGGGAGCCGGATGCAACCAGGCTCCTTCCTCCTGGAGAGAGTTGGGGCAGGGATGCGGTGGTGGGGGAGTGTGTATAGCAGGCTCACCTACACAGGGCTCTGAAAGAGCTTGTTGGGCACGAAATGATATTCCAGACAGAGGAACCATGTGGCAGGGGGAGGGAGATGAGAAGGCAGTAGTGGTTCAGTGTGGCTGCCTTTATTATTAATCTTAACATTTGCATAAGTAATCACTCATGAGCGTCTACATGGCCAGCACTTAGAGGCGTTATGTCCTGTCCTCTCAGTAACCTTCAACAACTGAGCAAATGGAGACTTAAAGGGAGAACAGAACCTGCTCCAAAGCCCGAGTTCTTTCCATGGCGTCTCGGTTGCCTCCGAAATGAAGATAAACAAATAGCAGCTTCAAAATACCATTTGCGAGGTGATAGGCCAGTTTGCAAAGTGCTCTCAGTGAGGGAGGCAACCTGGGCTTTGATGCCAGGCATTGGCCTGGTGGGAACCAGAAGTCTGGACAGACACATTAATCACCGTCCCGAGGCTTTCTGGGGAACGGGGTGTGCATGGAGCCGGAGCTCAGCCGAGGACAGTGCTGCTGACCTTTTGGGCGGATTCCCTAATTGACCATGATGAAAAGCCCAGGGAATTGAATGTCCTTTCTCATGGCCAGTGTGATTTATGGGACAATCACCCGGCATGTCTGGAGCAGAAGGTTATCTGTGCACACACTCCCTCCCCAGCACGCAGAGCCAGCCTGTTCTGCACCCAGCAAGATGAGTGACCACTTCCTGAGAGCAGGGGTGGGCAGGGCCTGAGCACCCTGCTGGAGATGAACGCAGCCTCAGAGCCCAGAAGTCTGCACCTAAACCTAGAGGAGAAACCAGCGCTCCTTCCTATAATCAGCCCTGCTCCTGCACGGTTGCCCTCTGTGACAATTCAGAAGGCACTTTAAGATCCTACAGAGCCATGGTCCAAAGGGCCTTGACACGAGGCTTGCACAGAGGTAGGATCTCATAGGGCTTGCCAATGTGGACATTCTAGAATGTGGGGCAACAGGTGAGCAACAGCGAGCCTGTTGGCTGCTCCTTCCCAAGGCCAGTGCTCCTCCCGTCACTGCTGACGGATGTGCACAGCTCTGGACACTACGTCTGTGATGGCGTCCCTACTCCCAGCTTAGGATATGCAGTGAACATTCAGTCACACTCACGAATGGCAGTAAGCAAAACACTGATTGAGTTACTTTATTTTTTAAAAAAAAAACCTATAAAAACAGACTTTATGTCTACACCCACTGGTGTATTCAAATATATTCATACATGCATAAATAAACACCAGCACACATGTTTGGGAATGAAACGTAGACCCAAACACACACATCCTTCAGTAAACTCATGCCCAGCACGTACACATCAGCCAAATGCCACATGAACACAGCACCCACACAAACACATCCACACAGGCATACGGAGCTCAAGCTCACACGTGACACATCAGAACACACACACATTACAGGCACAACCACCTCTTAGGCCCCAAACGTATCAAACACACAGAAAGATGCACAAAAGGCAAACAGAGCTCACACCACCATGCACACCGATACATCTCCTGCCCACCTTGTGCATATGCTGCATTCCCATATCACAGCCACACGCAAATGAGCTGCAGGGCCTGGCTCTGCTGCCCTCAGCACAGTCTAGCGGTGGGCGGAGGTGGCAGCAGCATCCCCTTCACCCATGAGCTTCCTCATGATCAGAGCCGAAAGGGAAGGAAGTCTGTCTGACCTTGGAACCTGAATCTCCTTCCCTGCCCTGCAGCCCATGCTCCCACTGCCACGCAGATGCCCTTGATGAATGGGTCACCCAGGGAGGTGGGGGCACACAGGGCAGCCTAGCCAGGAGAAGCAACGGGGGACACTGAGTGAGAAGGAAGAGGGAGGGCAGGGTCCCTGCTGGACACCCAGCTCCTCTCCCTCCTCACCTCCTGGGGACCAGCTCCCTCTCCCTCCTCACCTCTGAAGGCCGCTCAGACATCACCCATCCCAGGTGGAGCCCCTCCCTGGGGAGAGCCCACCTCTCTAAGGAGAGGGACTTCATCAAAAGCCTTGTAAAGGGGTGAGGTCTGTGTGGGACTTGGGGGCTGGAGGGCACATCTGGGGCTGCCCAGAGCCAGCCCCCACAGCAGGACAGGGAGGCTCTGGCAGTGAGGAGCTCTCATGGCTACTGCCACCAAAGCTGCCACCTCCCTGCTCCTTGGGGAAGGAGAGGCAGGCAGGGGCCTGGTGAGATTACTGCTCTGTGATGATGCCAATTAGGGCTCATATATCACAACACAGCAGCCTGGTCTCCAAGCCCAGAGCTGCCCAGGTGTGGGGGAGGGGAGCGCAGAGGAGAGAGCACAGAGAAGAGGAAGTAAGACAGGCAGCAGCACAGGGCGGCCATTGCCTCCTGTGTTGACCAGAATTTTTCCTTTCTCCCCTCTTGGGATAAGACAGCTTTGGTCTGTGTCTCAGAGGCGGCCCCTTCTTTTTTTGAGAAGCATTTTATCCTGGAAGACTAGCGTAGTCCTTGCTCTCTAGAAACTCCAGGATGGATCTCATGACACCCACCCAGCTCTGAGCTTCCCCCACTGCCCAGCCAGTGTCCCCTTTATTCTCATCACTCGTCTTTGACTGTTCGCATTCCCCCCATTGCTTTCTTCTCCTCTGGCCCTTCACCAGCCTCTGTCCCCTTCCACTGCCTCCCTTCCTCTTCCTCTGTGAGGCTCCATTATTTCCATCGCTGGGCTTGGAAGTCAGAGAGACAGCGGTTCTCATTCATAGTCCTGGACCGCCAGCTCTGTAACCTGAGCTCTGGGCACCTGTGAAAGGGGCGTGAGGGCACCTCTCTTAGGGGCTGGATGTGCAGAAGGAGCAACCTCTGAAAGGCACCCGCAAGGCAGGTCACTCCCCCTTCTGGGCTCAGCATCCTGGTGTGTAAAGTGAGGAGGTTCTAACCTGTCCTGCACCTGCCACCCACCCTCGCCTCCTCTTTACCCCCATGCCTCTTCCACTGAAGGGAGGACAAGCTGCAACAGGAGTTCACGGGATAAACTATGCATGCACGAGAAGTGTGTGTGTATGCACACATGTCCATATGTATGTGTGTATGCATGTGTACAGGGTGGGACAAGTAGGGTTTCGTTTTTTAATATATTTATTATTGATTTCAGAGAGGAAGGGAGAGGGAGAGAGATAGAAACATCAATGAAGAGAGAAAATCATTGATTGGCTGCCTCCTGCATGCTCCCTACTGGGGATCAAGCCCACAACCCAGGCATGTGCCCTGACCGGGAATCAAACTGTAACCATCTGGTTTATAGGTTGACACTCAGTCACTGTGCCATGATGGACTTGAAACACAGAGTTTATTCTTGTATTATCATCTATTAACTAGAGGCCTGGTGCACAGAATTCATGCACGGGTAGGGTCCCTAGGCCTGGCTGGCAATCAGGGCCATTCGGAGCTGCCAGCCGGGGCCTTCCTTCATTCTACGTCGCCCCCTGGTGGTCAGCACACGTCATAGTGAGTGATTGAACTCCCAGTCTCCCGGTCAAACTCCCGAGGGGACACTTTGCATATTAGCCTTTTATATATATAGATTATTTTATTATTTTCCATATGAACAACTTTAAACCTACTTTTGCCCCACCCTGTATGTATACACATACACACACATTTGGAAGGGAGGCTTTAGAACGGCTAATAGAATTTTATATATATAATATATATATGTATGTATTTTATACACTTTTATATATTTATATATTTTAAAGAATTGTCTGTCTCTTGTGAATGCATGGTGTTCTGGTGTTCAGGGTGGTCTTGGCGCTCAGGTGGGGAAAGGCCTCCTTAGGGCCCTGGTCGGATCCTCACCCCTACTCTTTGCCCACATGAGTAAGCACCTTTTTGGAGGCCTGGGGACATGTCCTGGGATAGGATTGATTTTCAAGAGATGTCAGAATGTGTGAGGTCAGGCCAGAGTTTGAATGAGCTAAATTAGAGCCAGCTTGCCATCCCATAGCTAGACAGCTAATCATCTTCAAGGAGAAATCCCTGGACCGAAGGCTTCAGTCCCCGTTGGTCATCCATGCCTTCATTTTTTTCAGTTCTTTGTATTCCTTTCCATGTATTCGGTCATTTATTCATTCATGCACCCACTCACACACTCACTTCCTTCTTCATAAGATACCTAAGCCCCTATTCCTTTCACTCCTTGTGTCATGAATTCATTCACTTATTTCTTCTCCATCTATGCACTCATTGCCTCAACATCTCTTTCATTCATGTCATAAGTCCTTATCGAGTGGCTGCCATCTGCCATGCACAGTGTGCTGACCTTGTGGAGCTTACAATCCCACAGGGTAGAGAGATACTGACAGATGTTAAAAGTCACCAAGCCAACCGGAAGGGGTAGTGACAAATGCAGGTGCTGTGAGGGGGGTTTGGCCAGTCAGGAAAGCACAAAGGTCTCCTCTAAGCAGGCTGGGGGTCTGAAGGGTCCTGGTAAGGCACCATTTGAAGAAGAGTAGAAGGCATGAATGCAAGTCCTGTGCCAAGAAAAAACCTGGGACTGCAATCACCACTCACTCGGCTGGTGCTTATTAGCAATCCCTGTGTGTCAGGCAGCAGGTTAGGCTCAGGGATGAACCTACCTTGTCCCTGCCCTCTCGGGGCATCTCTGTAACTGTGGAAGGGAGACACAGGGGGTAGGGCCAACCCTGGAGTGAGACTCCTCACTGCTGAACACTGCTCCCTCCGCTGCACACATGGGGCGGGCTTCTTGGAGGACATGACCTTGGCCTTGAAGCCAGTAGGACTTGACTGTGAGAAGGCAGATGGCGGGATGATTCAGGGGGAGAGAATGAGAGCAGGACAGAGGAAAGGATGTGTGGGGCTCAGAGGGAAAGCCAGGCGCAGGTCAGTTGGACTAAACAAAAGTGTGAATGTAGTTAGTGGGAGATGAGACCATGAAGGCCGGGGAAGGGGGTTGGACCTTGCCCTGGATATGGGGAACCTTGGAAAGGTCTTCAAGCAAAGGAGGAACAAGACCAAACTGGGCTCGGGGCCGATGCAAATGGCAGTGGGTGCCAGCTGAACTGGAGACGAGAGAACAGTCAGGGAGACCAGGGGCAGCCCTGCTGGGGAGTTCCCTCCCTCCCACTGCCCTCAGGGTGGGCAGCCCAGTCCACTGGGGGCCAGAGAGCGGCAGGGCCCACTCTGGGGAGAGCAGCCCTGGGCGTTAGGAGACTGGGGCTAAGTGGCCAGCTCACACTCTGCTTCCCACAGGGTCCGAGTGTGCCACCTCCTGCCTGGACCACAACAGCGAGCCCATTATCCTGCCCACGAACGTGACTGTCCGTGACATCCCTCACTGGCTGAACCCCACGCGGGTGCAGGTAAGTGACAAGGGCTTCCTACCTGGGCCTAAGGGGAGGAAAATGCCCTTGTCGAACATTTGCGTTGCCTGGGTGCTGCACTCATCGCTTTACCTGTGTTACACTGTCACATGGCCACACCTCTCTGTCACAATCACTCTCCAGTCCTTAAATATTTAATACTCTGTTGGGTCCTGTGCTTAGGACCTAGCTTTCCTGTCCCACTGAATTGGATGACAGCCTAGGGGACTGATGTTTCTAGTTACAGAAGAGGAAACCTGGACACAAACGCATGAGTAGAGAGCACAGAGTCGGGTCACACGCGCACTCATGAGAGAGGTGCTGTCGGGCTTCTCAGTGTGAGCTCTTGGAAGTCTTCTACATGCCACAGCCTAGATTTCTGGCATCTTCCCTGTGCTTTCCTCATTTGGTGGAAAGCAATTAATATGCGATATGGGGAACCAGTAACACCTACAGTTTGTGAAGCACTTACTATGTTCATGTGCCCAGTCCTGGCACACAGACTGCATTTAAACCTTGGAATGGTTTTGTGGTGCAGGGTGGGCAGCACTCTCTGCCTTCTCGGCCATGGACCCTGAGATCTCCGGAGCGACAGCTCGAACCCAAGCCTGAGCCACATGCCCTGCTCTACTCAAGGTGCCAGGCTGGCTTGCCCAGCCAGACCTTGGAAGCCCCACCTCCTGACAGCCAATGGCATTGCCCATTTCATTTGGGAGCTGGCCACCCCCACTTCCTTTATGTGATCAGTCAGGGGCCCTCAGAGCTGATGTGGGGGCCGCTCTTGTCCTCCAGGGCAGCACGCATTCCAGGCCACAGGAACCGGCTCTGGGCACTGCCCTTCCCCTGGAGAAAGTGGGAGGCAGAGGCTCTGGGGTGCAAGGCTGAGGTTCAGCTCTGTCTCTGGCCCAGCCTCCTGCCTGGGTGCTGGGAGGCCTCCAGTCTGCCCACCTGCAGATCGTGCCCCAGATAGCTGGGAAGAACCCGATACCAGGTGTCCTGTTTCTCAAATGAGAGGAGGGCAGGATTGTGAGGGCTTACTCAGCACTCTGGGCCAATGGACCTGGCCAGCCCCCCTCTGCTGCCCCGTGCCCCCCAGCATTGTCCTCCCCTCCCTTCCCCTCCTCTTCCTCTTCTGCTGCTCTCTGTGCCATCTCCAACTTTATCTCCCTTTCCTGCCTGTTTTCCCTGTGTCTCTCTTCCCTCTCCTGACAGGACTGTTACCTCACTCTGCCTCCCCCGCCCTCTTTCCCTCCATGTCCACCCCCTCTGTCTCCCTGGTCTCTGTCTTCCTGCCTCTGACTCTCCCACGCACCCACCAGGCAGCCCTGTTTCCCTCAGCTCGCACTCCTCCAGCCCTTTTCTCCACTGGCCATGCCTTTCGCCATCCCTCACCCAGAGTCACACAGGAGCAGAGCCTGGACCATGATCTCAGCTCCTTCCCTCCGTGCCTCCCTCTCGCTCCTACCCTGACTCCCACACACCCACAGGCAGGGACATACTCCCACACAGTGCAGACCCAGGGGACCACTCACACCTGGGACCGCGGGGCTCCTTTGCCTGGCCCAGACCATGGTGCCTTGGCCCAGCTTCCACTCAGGCCTTTGCTCCGCACCCTCCCCACCCCAGGTGAATTCCCACCCCTCCCTCTGAGAGCCCGGGGCACTAAAGAGTTCAGTTATAATTCACTGTGAAATAAATCCAGGGATTTGAAAGCCTGCAAGCCCCCTCCCCATTTGCCCACCCGCTGCCTGCCTGCCCCAGCCCCCACCTGGTTCCCTGGTCGGCCGGCCTTTATTGATGCCGGCCTACCAAGAGAGCCATAACGAGGTTCAGACCTCCACCGGTCTCCGGAGGCCTCATTATCCAGGAGGAAAAAAATGTGGTAGAAAAAGGGAGGAGGGTGAAGGGCAGAGATTGATGATTTCCAGGAATACGGCAGAAAGCTGGCCTCCGCTGCACACTTGCCCCTTGTGTGGCGAGAGCTGCAGAAATAGAGCTGCTGGTGCGGGAGGCACCAGGCCGGAGCAGGCCCTGGACAGCTCTGCCTTCTGCGGGTCTGCCTCCCAGGACCAGCGTAAGGTAGATGGTCGGGGCAAAGGTCTACCCCCACTCCTGTCACCTTTGTCCCAGGGTAAGAAAGTGAGAGGCTAGAACTGACAGTTCATGGACACCTACTGTGCATCGGGCATTGGGTCACTTATTTTCACCTCAAACTCCAACTCACACACACATATGCACACACACTCCCCTATGAGGTAGGTAGTAGTCTCTGTTTTTCCAGTGGAGGAAATGGAGTCTCAGAGATGGAAGCCTCATGCCTAAGAGGAAGTGAACGGGGACCCATGTCAGTTTGATGCTGCAGCTTATTCAAGCTACCCATGCAGCCTATCTTGAATGTACAATAATAATAAAGGCAAAATGTTTACTGACCTCTTACCAGGGATATGCTGGTAAACGGTTAGCAACGCCCCCTTACCCCGCCCCCCCCCCGAAATGAACTCTGATTTGTAGCATTTGCCACTTACTGTGGTGTAAATATTCCCACCGTGGCAAATATCAGGTTTTCCAAGTTACTGTCACTGCACACAAAGTTAGGAAGAGAGACCTCACTGTTGCCTCTTGTGAGCCCAGGCAGGCCAGTTGTAGCCTGCCACTTGTGCTCAGTACATGACGGGCTCAGTTCTAAGCACCCACTGGCATATAAGGAGAGAATGAGGACTACTTAGATGAGTACAGTATCACCACTGACATCATGTGCTACCACAACAGTGACCTTTGTGAAGGTAGGCCCGTGGTCATCTTATTTACCATGATACGCCCCGCAGTGCCTAGCTCACAGTAGGTGCTCACTAAATATTTATGGTTGCTGAGTGAGGTGACCAAGGCCTAGTTTAAGCCCAGGAACCTTCTTGCTATATGTCCTTGGACAAATTGTATCACTTTTTAGGCCACGGTCTCCCCATCTGTGAAATGAGAGAGGCTGAGATCAAAGAGCCACAAACTCAAACATGTGCAGGATCCAGGCAGGTGGGCTGAATGGGTGAAGCAGGCCAAATACCATTTTTTTATGTTGAATACCTATGTACTAGTATATGTTTCATAACAGCAGTAGTATTTACTATAAATATTTCAGACTTAGAGGAAATATAGCAGACCCTCACGTACATACTACCCAACTTAACAAAGAGGACTTTCAGATACAGTTGAGGTTCTTTACTCCTAATTGAGCTATAACTTACATGGTCATCTTAAGCATACGGCATGGTAAGTGTTTATATTTGTGTCCACTCGTGAAACCAGTACCCAAGTCGGGGTGGGGACATTTCCAGCTCCCCAGAGTCCTCCCCTCTCCATGCCAGGCAGTGCCCCTACCACCAAGGTAAATCCCTGTTGGTTTTATTTATTTTTTAATTGGTATATAATTGGCATATAAGATTATGTTAGTTTCAGTTGTACTAAAATATTTTAGTTTGACTTTCTTTAAGAACAAAACACTCTATCCCTTTATTTTTTTAAAGTACTCCCCCGTGGGAGTTCCTCCCAGACTCCCCTCTCCTCTCCCTACCCCGCACACACAGGTACATACACGTGCACTTTGAAAGTAATAGGGAAACTAAGAAATCTTCTTCCAACCTAATAAATGAGACAATACAATACAAAACTCGAGGACAGATAGAAGTGTCGTTCGGGCTGAATGAGGAGAGACTACAGGGAATGGTGGGGACTGTGGTGAACTGAGGATACCAGGCTGCGTCCATAGGGGGCGGCTCTAGCCAAGTGTGACAAGGTGGAAATAAGGGCTTGGGGTGGCCAGATTTTCCATTTTTTCTTGAGTCTTTATAATATGAAATCTCTCGGGGTTTTTTACATATTGGCCAATAATTTTGACTTCTGTTAAGTACTTCATGTGCCAAACCAAACGTTTCTGTGGGTTGTGTAGCCTGGAAGCTGTTGGCTCGCAACCTTTGAATGAGATAGACTCTTCTGGTGCCGGGTACCTAGAATTCAGGGTTCAGGCTCTGCCGCCAGCTCCTCAGGAGCACCGCCTGTCTGCCCAGCACTTCCTCTCGCCCAGAGGAGCTGGAGAGTTTCCCAAGAGAAAATGCTGCTCACAACCTCAGCTGCTTATAATCCCTCTAGGTCAGTGGTTCTCAACCTTGGCTGCACATTAGAATCACCTGGGAATCTTTTTAAAATCCTGATTTCTGGGCCTCTATCTCCGGAAATTCTGTTTCTTTGTTATTGCGTGTTGTGGACCCACCCCATAACAAAGAAACAGAATTTCCGGAGGATGAGGCCCAGAAATCAGGATTTTAAAAAGATTCCCAGGTGATTCTAATGTGCAGCCAAGGTTGAGAACCACTGCTCTAGGTAGATGGGGCCTTGAATTTTATAATGGCTTCTGAGAAAAGGGTGGAAGGAGGAAAGAGAGGGAAAGAGGAAGATAGGGCCAGAGGGAGGGAATTGACAGAAAAAAGAAATCAACATTTATTGAATATCTATGATATGTAGGCACTGCTTATTAGGCAATTTCATATGTGCCAACTCATTTTGTCTCCATCACACGCCAGTGAGATACATATTATCACCATTTAATAGATGAAGACACTGAAGTTCTGAGAAATTGCCATTGCCCCATTCATGTAACTAATGTGTCTGAATCAGAATTTGAACCCAAGGCTAATTCTCCTGTATCCGTCCTGCAAGGCAACCACCTTGTTATGCGTACGTTTATGATTTATGTTATAAATGCAACCCTTGCAACAAATGATACAGAATTCATTCCTTGAAGAGAAGATAGCACCGTGGAAAATCCTGCCAGGTGTCCAAAGGTCAGAGGTGGAATGGTTCAGAGTGCATATCAATGTATAGAAGGGCTATCCTGAGCCGTGGAGGGGAAGCCCATAGATGGAGAGATGTGTCCAGACTCCAGCGATTCCTCATTCACTCATAGACATAATGATACAGTCACTCATCTGTTCATTCACTCGTTCAAAGCCACTGATTGCATACCTCCATTGAAATGTCAGGTATTCTTCAGATTCAAGGGATATGGGGTAGAAAATGCCTAGGCTTTCAAAAAGCTTACCCACTTGATAACAAAAGGAAAATATACAGTTTTTCATTTTTTTCTCAAGTTAAATGATACAGTTCACTCACAGAAGGTCCCATAAACCAAGGAAAAGTCCAGGAGAAAAGACAGCATATCTTAGAAAATATCAGGAGGGGTGTGGGATCTGAGCTCAGAATGAGGAGGCTCAGTGTATTTTCTTATATGTCTGGTTCCGCCTGGGTCCCGTCATTTAGACACTCTGCCCGCTCCCGTATTTGTTTCAAAGCCTCTCCACCTTTTTGAACCTTGGTCTTACTCAAAAGAGTAAGCCACTTTATGTTTGCAGCTTTGGGGGTTAGGGGAATCTGAAGGAGAGTGTGGTATTCAAAGTATAGACCTGGAATCAGATAGATGTGGGTTTAATTCCTGACTGCCATCATCTATGTGTATGATTTGAGGCAACTTGCTTAACTTCTCTGTGCTTCAGTTTCCTCTTGTGTAACCAGATTCAAAATTAGTACCTATCTTATAGTTATGATAAGAAATAGATGAAAGTTCTGAGCATAGGTCTTGGACCACAATATTTATGTAATAGAGGACTTTGTGTTGATAAGGATCTGGATAATGATGGTGGGGTTGGCAATGATGAAGATGATAGCAGTGGTGGTGGTAGTGTGACAGCAGTAGTTCTGGTGTTATTGGTGACAGTGGTGGTGCTGGTGAAGGTGATGGTGATAACAACAAGTGGTGGTATTGATGGTGTTGGTGATGGTGGTGAGGGTAGAGATG